CAGGCTCTTCTCTCTGATGTCCAATGATAGGGGACAATGGGAGCATAGGAGATTCCATGTGAACATAAGAAAAACCTTTTTCACTGTGACGGTGACAGCACTGGAACAGGCTGCCCAGAGAGGTTGTGGAGTCTCCTTCTCTGGAGACATTCAAAACCCACCTGGACATGTTCCTGTGTGACCTGGTCTAGGTAATCCTGCTCAGGCAGGGGGGTTGGACTGGATGATCTTTCAAGGTCCCTTCCAACTCCTAATATTCTGTGATTCTGTGATAATAGCAGAACAGTCCAGATAAGATTAAAAAAAACACCTATTTCTAATTTATTTAAAAACAGATGACTTTTTGTTTTGGTCTATCCCACCTGTGTCTCACTCCCTACCTGCCCCCTGCATCCCCTCCATTTAATCCAAGTAGAAAGGTAAGTTTAAAAAAATACCATCCTTTTGAATTCCCAACTGTTAAAAGAATAAAGTGAAAAATGGAACTTCTCTGGATCATTATTATGTACTGACCGAAGTATATGATATTTGTTGCAATAATGAAATTGTAACTGAGGTGTTTTCCGTTTACTCTAGCTGAATTGATGCAGAAGTCTCCTCCATCTCTCATCTCCTTGGCTGGAGGGGCACCAAACCCTAACGTTTTCCCATTTAAGAGGGCTACTGTTGCCATTGGACATGGAACTGCTGTTGAGATTGGGGAAGATTTGATGAAGAGAGCTCTCCAGTACTCGGCCTCAGCAGGGTATCTGTGAGGGCTGCTTGCAACTCAAGAGACCAGAATCAAAGGATCATAAAACCTTTTATTACTGCATTAATTCACCTGTGTTAAAAAAACCTTTTTTACAAAGAGAGGTTTAACTTCTCTCAGTTTGCCTCACAGTTTGCACTCCTGTATCAGTTTCAGTGGAAATTTTTGAGCAGATTACTAATTAAAAAAAAAAAAAACTCAACAAACTCAACAAACAACAAACCCACAACTAATACTAGTAATTCACAAGCCAGAGCATTTTCTGGCTGTTACTATTTGAGAAATTCAGACTCCTAAATCACTGGGAGGAATCATTTTGTGTTTTGCAATAAGGTATCATTCGAATATACTGCATCACAATACATAGGTTCCACATTATGGAATATTTGTTTTGCTCTCGTTTGGTACCATATATTAAAGTCAGTATGTACTACTTGTGGTAGCTGGAGGTTTTTACATTATTGTCATTTTTAGTACAAAAATTACTTATCATTAAGTTACTTTAGCACTCGTAAATTCCCCAGCAGACAGCACTGCGTCAGGCTTGTAACAGGTTTGTAAAAATATTTAGGTACCTACGGAGGCACACAGGGCATTAATCAGTGAAGTTAAGACTTTTCTTAATATTTAAATTAACACCATACAAGAACTTAAGCAATATTTTTTAAAAAATCTGTTTCAGAAATTCTTACTGTCTTCAGCCTATTACTAGCAGTATTGCACCTGTGTCACATTTTGAGTATGGCAAGGTGGAGTGAATATTGTTCAACCTCCACCCTTATTCCATCCTTGGTGAATCCTTTCCACCTAGATTTCAGTATGATAATTTGATGTATGGACCATAGATGCCCATCTCTTCTGCTTTTCCATAAGAAACATTTAGCATATTTTCATTATTTGATAAGGTGGTCATAAAATTAGAATCTAAGTCTGTGTGACACTTGAAATGAAACTCAGGACACTGCACCAGATCTGGCAGTGATTTAGACGAACAGCCTAGCTTCAGTCTGTATTGCAGATATATCTTATTTTATTCCTGTTTCAGGATTCCAGAGCTGTTGTCTTGGCTAAAGGAATTTCAGCGGAATCTACATAACCCCCCCACAGCCAACTACAGTCCTGAGCAAGGACAAATGGAAGTGTGTGTCACAACTGGCAGCCAGGAAGGCTTGTGTAAAGTAAGGCCAAAACCTGAGTATGTTAAAAGCATGTCTCTCAAAGAGGTGTTTATTCTTACATTAGTTCAGTTATACTCAGCATTAAGTGCTACTGTATAACTATATTCAGGGTACTTTGGTAAAGATACATCTCACAGTATTATTAATAAAAGATGATGGAACTGAAATAGAACTGTTGCAGTAGTCTAATGTGTCATGACTGCATTAATGCTCAGGTAAACTAAGAAAGCCTGTCAGAAAATGCGCTATAAGGTAACATTTCATGTTACTCAAGTAGTGCAGTAGTAAGTACGTAGATGTATTATTTGCGTTACCATAGTGCAATTCTAATTACATTAAATTCCTTAAATAATTACCCTTTCTAGTCCACTCTCATTGCTGCTTAGTTGTTCCTTTCTGTAACTGAAGGACTGTTTCTGTTGTATAATAGAGTTATGTCTTTCCATATTCTCCAGCTGATTATCTAGCTTCATTTGGCTCCAAAGGAGATTTTTCATCTGTTCTTCACTTTTTTTCACAGTCACCATAATTAAATGGTTAGGAAATTATTAATATCTCATCAAGATTTTTAATCCCACTAAGAAGTCAGAAGCATGAAGCATGTGTACAAGAATGGCACAATCTTTGAAAAATAGACTCTTTTCTTTCCCAGGTGTTTGAAATGCTCATTAATCCTGGGGACAACATCCTTTTGGATGCACCTACGTACTCTGGGACACTAGCAGCTGTAAGTATTTTTTAGCTACAAAATTTTGTGAATGTTACGTTTGAAGTGAACAGAATTTAGTACCTGGCTTATATACCCTGCCTGTATTTACTGTAAAATCATATATATGAATCAAGTTTTTAGTGCTAGTCCAGTTGAGTTCATAAATATTAACTCACAGAAGCTTTTCTACTAAGGTCTATAAAAGCTATTCCCAGGACAGAAGTTCCTCTTCCAAATCCTAGTTCATTCGAGGGCTAAGGTCACATTTGGAATTGGAAAGAAAGCCATCACAACCTAGTGGGGTTGAAACAAATGTATAACAAGTGGGTATTTTAACATGTTAGCACATTCACCTGAATTATTTCGTGATCTGATTATACCACAGCTATAAATAGTATAAAAATGGAATAGGCCTGAAACATCCATATGTGAGTATGAAGATGTAAGTTAGTAAGAGCTATTCAAAAATAGTGAAGTTTAATTCTGAAAAGTAATTTAATCAGTATGTGATTGAATGTAATCTCAAAATGCATAAGGACTGTAAGAAGGGTTAGGATAGATAATACACCACAATTTCAGTCTAGTCTCTCCTTGCATCAAAAGGAATATTGTCACTGTTTGCTGTACTAAGTTTGAATACTTCTTATCTAATCAAATGTACTTTGTTAGGAATATATTTATGACAATGCAGTAACTTGCATTTTTACTTAGAAATGCAAAGTGCTACATGGTACAAATTGAAATTCCACAGAGGGGAGACAGCATGCTTTATTTGTTGGTATCTTACCTATATTTTTTTCATACTGCAGCCAACATGTCATTGCAGTAGCATCATTTCATACTCCCTTGTATTGCTGAATATATCTATTGAGAACAGAGTCTTTGCCCTTTGTCAGTGAAGAGTAGCTTACAATTCTGGCACTTCCACTGAAGTAGAGTGTAAATTGTCAGTAGGAACTGAAGGTGCTATGAACCTGCTGTCAGTGGCAAGACCATGAGGAGTCCTAAGAGAACACAGTTCAAATTCACAAAATCTCTTTCTGCTTCCAAAACCATGTGTGATTTCCTAGAGAAGAGCAGCAGTTAGACATAGGAGTTGGCTTAACAGGGCAAGTACAGCAATGTGGTAAGTTTGACAAGCTTCATAGAGAATTCAGGCAGACTTTTGTTTGCATCATGAGCAAATGGAGTTTGAGATATCTATTAAGTCAGAAAGACATTATATCACTGAAATTTTACAATGCAGATTGGAAAAGGAAGACCTTTGAATTACTGGGTTATGACAGTTTTGTTCCTCCTATCAACAGCTGAGACCTTTGGGTTGTAACATAATTAATGTTCCTAGTGATCAACATGGCATTATTCCAAAAGCTTTAAAAGAAATTCTATCTACTTGGAGCTCGGAAGATGTGAAGAATCGTAGCCACCACCTCCCCAAATTCCTGTACACTATTCCAAATGGCTGCAACCCAACTGGAAACTCTCTGACCACAGAGCGCAAGAAGGAGATTTACCAGGTATGTAGCTGGGGCCTTGTGAACCTTTTAGGTGGAAATGGATAACTGTCAGTCTCATTTCAGTTGAAGATACCTTGTGTGTGGTGGTTGGGCCCATTATTGGTATAAATATATATATATAT